ATGGTACAGTGAGAAATAAAATATAGCAGTAACCAGGTCATGGACCTGCCATGTGTCCGGAGCCATAGAGCTCGGCTGTTGCCTAAGAGCCTCTCTGTCCAGGGCCAAAGAGCCTGGTCATAGCCTGCCCAGGGTCATGAAGCCCTGCTAATAGCCTTCTCACACTAAAGATATAAATGCTGTGACCTTTCCGCCATTTTCTCCTTCTTACTGCTTGCACAGCCCTAGGCATAGATCACCGTTGCTTTGCTTTAGATAGCTGAGAAATGTTCCATTTCCTGAAATGATTTGCCCTGTGGTTTTTCCCAGAAAACATCTGCATACTTCCTTATCTGCTGATTCCCTCCTGCTGTCTATATAAGCTGTGACCTTCTGGCTAATAAACGAGACTTGATCAGAATACTGTCTTGTCTCCATTTGGTGAGGGAAAGAAGTATTTTCTCCTCAATTATTCAAGTTGCAAGAAGGAATTAAGTAAGGCTATGAAGAGTGTAATGTTCAGAATTGCATATCTTTTCATAGCTCTAATATGCCATTATGAGCTACTGTCCAAATCTAGGGTTGTCAGAGACAAACAGCGAGCCCTTAAATGCCAGATGCTTAGGCACAATCTTGGCAAAGTTCCAAGTCTCCATCCTGCCCATCTGTTATTAGTCTGTTTTTGTGTTGCTATAACAGAAATATATCAAACCACGTAATTTGTAAAGAAACAATATTTATTGTTATAGTTTCAGAGGCTAGGCGGTCCAGAGTCCAGGGAACACATCCAGTGAGGGCCTTCTTTGGTGGTGGCTTTGCAGCAACACAGGGTGTCACATGACAAGAATGGCAGAGCAGAGAGACTAACCTCCTCATTCACTCTCCTTTTAAAGCCACCAGAGTCACTCCGATTATTTCAAGAATAGATCAATCCATTTACAAGAGTACAGTGCTCACGATCTAATCACTTCTTCAAGGCCCTACCTTTCACTTACCATAATAATTTCCACCCTCTTTACATTGTCTCAGTGGGAATTAAGTTTCTAATACACTCAACTTCAGGGAACACAATTCAATCCATAGCACAATCTTTTCAAGAAATGTCTTTGTCTTTCATCCTGAAGGATCACTTTCTTTTGTAGTTTCTACAGTTTAGTTGGAACTTCTTGGGAGAGTGATATTGTTTGTGAGTGATTCTTTCTCTAATAACTAATATTTACGGAGCATTTACCATATGCAAAGCATCATCTCAGTTTTTCCACAAAACAATCATATTAGGTAGGTAATTTTATTATCTCCAGTTTAAAGATGAAGAAGCGGGCTTAACAGGTCAGAAAAACCTGAGCTCAGGTGGCACTCTTCCCATTAGAGAACATGCTTCACCTTGGGCAGGTCACTAAATCTTAAGGATAATAACGCCCACCTCAATGCATTGCTATGTGGGTCAACTAAAACAGAGTAAGTGAAAGTGGCTGGTATTGAGCCAGGCCCACAAGGGACACTCAGAGAGCTCAAGGGACAAGTACATGAAAAGTAGAATTTTTATGTTGCTTGGCAAATGTACTTATTCCGCTCTGCCTTGCTCAATTATAAAGGTCCAGAGATTGGATCACAGAATTGGTCAAGGATGACACCAACCAGGCCTTCTCCAGACAAAACTGGGTAAAGAAAATAACTAACATTTCTCAGATACTGCAAGACCTTCCTGCATCAGAATCAACTGGGGAGCTAGTTAAAATGCACATCCCTGGCATGACCCCCCACCCCGCACCCCAACACACTGATGGGAAGGAAATCAGCTTTTCAGACAAGCTTGAATAATTCATATATATCCTTGAATTTAAGAACAACTATATATGAATGTATATAAAGCTCATCTTTTATCAAAAGGATGTTTATATTAGACATGTATACACATATGTATAAATTCCTCTTCTATCAGGAAGGATACAAAGATGCCTATTTATGAGATTTTTTTCACCACAGCCGCACCCAAACCAGGGTCATTGGACACATAATTTATTTTTCATGATTTACATGGCATGAGCAGTGCCACACCCAAGCAGAAACCTACAGTAGTTCCCTTTATAAATGAAAATAGTCAAAGCAAATTGTATATCAGAGAGTTACCAAAAAGTGCAAGATTGAAATCTAAATAAGAGGGGTTAAGCCAATGATATTTCTCAAATAAAAATCATTCTGGGAACTTAAAAAAAAGTCCATGTATCTGGGCCCATCACAGGCCAGCTGAGTTGTAATGTCAGAGGGTCAAATCCAGGCAATTACAGTATGTGCTGAAATTCCTTTATAGATGATTCTAATTATCTCCCTGATTAAGAACCACTGATAACCATTTGGGTCACCAACATGAAATATACTTGTCCCACTTCCAAGGTAGTACTGATCTACTTGTTTCTCTAGAATAAAATTGTCAAGAGAGTGGATGGTCAAGGTGGCTCACACACCGCTAGACACTGCTTGCTACTATCATATAACCACGGCTTTCAGGATTTGTCTCTTACTTTATACGATGAAGAACCAAGGGAGACCAACATCAGATATGTTCAGTGGAGTCAGCTATGCTCAAATCTGGACACAATCTCTAAAGTGCAAACACACACGCACACATGCGCAAACACACTATGTTCAGTGGAGTCAGCTATGCTCAAATCTGGACACAATCTCTAAAGTGCAAACACACACACACACATGCGCAAACACACACACACACACACACACACATCCCCCCAAAGGGGCAGCTCTTCAGCCATATTTTTTCCCCTAACACTTCCTCATTCTTGAACCCTCTGCTCTCTTTTTTCTATACTCACCTTCAAAAGCTTTGGTAACTGAACCTGAGTGCCTCCTCATCTAGCTGATGACATTGGGCCTAGAGGTTAAGTAACTTGCACAAGCTCACTCAGCTAAATGGTGGTAGAGCCAGGACTTGAATTAGCTTCTGACTTCAGCCCCAAGCTCCCCCATGTGCTTGTTCTCTCCCTGAACTCTGGTAAGATGCTCTGTCTCTCTGGCCCCTACAAGCAGGGCTGGCTTCTTGGACTTCTGACCTACGCAGTCACTCAGGTCCCAGACCTTAGAAGGAGCTCACACTTGGTTTCCTGTCATGGTCTAGAAATTCTTAACAATTTTTTAACAAGGATCCCATATTTTCTTTTTGCACTGGGGCCCTCAAATTATGTAGCCAGGCCTGCCTGAAAGTAAAGAGGGCTGTCCCTTGCCCTTCAGACGAGTGATCACCCACCTAGGAACATGGAGAAAGTGTAGAGCTGCCGTTCAATTTCCAAAGAGAGAGTCTGCCTCAGCTCTGACCCCATCCTTAAGGAGATCTCAGTTTCCTCAACGCTCAACTCCTACCTGGTCAGCCATCTGAAAAGAAGCTTTGTTCTCTAAGTATGTGCTAACTGAGATATTTCAATTGCAATCTTTGACCCCTGCTGGAAGCCAAGGTAATTACGTATCTGTTTAACTTAGTATTTGCTAATAGAAAGGGTGACTAATTAGAGAACATTAAAGAATTTTCTCCTCTCCACTATGGGTTTCCCTGAAATCATTACCTTCAAATCCCTCTGCTAACATATCAGTTATCATCCATTTTTTGTACTTGGTACATTCTGAAAAATTCTCTCAAATAAGTCTTGGGCAAACTTTTCCTGTTTCTCTTGAGCTCATAATGGCAGTATTATCTTCATTTGTTTACATTTGTTTTACATTTAGATATCTGACATAGCCAGATGATCCAGTATTGTTTTTCAAGTCCTGTTTGTCTTGTTTTTAATTTAACAAGGTAATATAACAAAAGCAAGTGCCTTTGTAAAGTTCCCTTTAATATCCAGGAGAGACAACATAGTTAAAAGAAGATGTGGCTAATGCATTTTGTTTGAAGCATATTTTCATAAAACTATTTTAGAGCTGAAAAACATCTTATAAATCACCATATTCAATGTCCTTATTTTCCCCATAAGAATAGAGATTGTGCTTTGCTTAATGAATCATGGCAAGTTCATAGCGCACAGGAAGAGACCCCGGGGCTACCGACCCCATGTTGGTCACTATCTTGGCGCATTTGTGCTTAAATAGTTCCAAGTAAGTTAGAGTGTGATGATCACTACGTATTACTGCAGAGTTCAAACTATAACTACAGAAATTGAAGTGGTATGTAATTTTAATGGTAAAAAGGAAAATGAAAATCCTCTACTGTTCTCTCTAAAGACGACAGAAATCTCTATTATATCATATGTAACCAAAAATCAAGAATCTTACTTTTGGTGACACACAGAGTACATCACATATGTCTTATACATAAGGCTATATTAAAATCCTTAATAACATCATTGTTGTGAGACAGGACTATGCTTTGCTATGTCAGATTTTTCTTATGAAGTTGTCCTGAACGTAGGACAGTGGATTTGACCACAATGTACCTGAATCAGAGAGGAGTAATCATGAGCTATGTAGAAACTGCTTAGAGGACTGCTCAGCGTCATTTGGTCTCTTATGAAGTTGTCCTGAACGTAGGACAGTGGATTTGACCACAATGTACCTGAATCAGAGAGAAGTAATCATGAGCTATGTAGAAACTGCTTAGAGGACTGCTCAGCGTCATTTGGTCCTTTGGTCACCCATGTACCTTAGACATACCTGGATGACTACCTACATCTGTTCATTCATATTTACTCAGGGAATTATGTGTGTCTCTCACTAGACTATGATCTTCTTAAGGGCAGGGAACACGTTTGCTGTTCACTTTTCACTTCCAGCATCTAGCACACTACCTGACACATAGTAGCCAATAAAAGAATAAAGAAACGAATGAATGAATGAGTGACTATCTTATGGAATTTCTGTATTTGCACACAGATTTATCACAGTGAAAGAGTGGTGCTATAATCTTAATGAAGGCAGGAAAATACATGTTTTGCTTAAAAAGAAAGCCTCCTCTGCCTTGCAGCAGATGTAATTAAGTGATTAGAGTAAAGAGAGGCATAAATTTATCCACTTACTTGCAAGCAAGCCAATTCCACCTGCCAGGGATCCAACCCATGCTGTTTTTCCTTTCCCTTCACCAAACGCATCCAGCCATTCTATGTACAAGACTCCAACAGCTAACGGGGATCCGTAACACAAAAACTGAGTAATGAAGGAGACTAGAACAATTATCCAGCCCCATCCACCATCAAGTGACTGTTTAAATTCCATTGTAAGGTGAAATCAAGGAGGTGCTTCTCTGCAGGTCCTAAACAAAAACAAACAGAAAAGAATATTATATTTAGACTGTGACAGGACACAGTATTTTGGATTAAAATATCTCCTCCGAAATTAAAAAATAAAAAGGATTCTCTAAAGACATCCATGGAAAAGAATAAAATATCACTGACATATCAAGTTAAGTGTAAACATAAATTTATATTATTCCCAGCAATTTTGTGTGTTGTGAAACTTCTGAATTCTTCCCAATTTGTTGACTTTTAAACAGTATTTCATTGTTGTTGTAACTTGCACTTCTCACTGTAGGAATACTGTCCAACATTTCATAGGTAAAAAGCCATTTGAAATTTCTGTCTAATTCTTGGGTGTATATGGGTGTATTTCTGGATTTTCTATTCTGTTCCATTGGTCTGTCTATTCACACATCATTAGCACATTAGTTTCATTATTAAGTCTTTTTATAAAAGTCTTTTTAATATATTTCAATCTCTACTGGGGCTAAGTTCCTTCCTTCTCTCTCCATCACCAAACTCCTTTTTCAATATTTTCCTGGATATTTTGTTTCTTTACTTTTTTGTATGAACTTCAGAATCAGCCTGTCTATTTCAAAAAGAAATCTGATGGTGCTTTCATCATGACTGAGTTAAATTTAAAAACTGATTTAAGGAGAACTGACCCTTCTATAGTATTGAGTTTTTCTAAGAACATGGTGTGATTCCTGCATTTGTTCAAGTCTTCTTTTGTGTTCCTACTGTTTAAAATTTTCCTCAACATTTTTTATTGTATTTTATCCTTTCTGCTAATATAGTAATTGGGGTTATTTCTTCTATTTGTCTTCTGTTTATATGTGTGAAAACTACTGATATCTCTATGTTAATTTTGTATCCCACTATCTTACTAAATTCTCCTATTTGCACTAGATTTTCAGGCGATTTTCATAGGTGTATCCAATATACAATGCAATACGACTATATAATCACCTACAGACAGCGATAGTTTTACCTTCTTATTTTTGCTTTTTAGACTTCTTTTTTTTTTTTTTTTTTTTGTCTTTTTGTCTCTTTTTTCGTGACCGGCTACGGATCGCAACCCTCAGTGTCGCGCCCATACCGGACCGGGACCGGCAACGGGATCGCAACCCTCGGTGTTGCTCCCGCACCTCGCTCAGCCAGTGAGCGGCCGGTCTGTATGTGGGATCCGAACCCTCGGCAGGAGCGCCGCCGCGCTTCCCAAGCGGCGCACTGCAGCAGTGCGCCACCAGGCCGGCCCCTGCTTTTTAGACTTCTAATTTTCTTCTTTTTCTTTGCATTAAACAGTACATCCAGAGTCATTTTTGTCTAGTTCCTAAATTTAGTAGGAATGCCTTCAAATGCCTAGGGGCTTAGATAGATTTATCTGGCAAAGTTAAGAAAGCATTTGTATTTCCCTATTGTTGAATGTTGTTATAAAGAATGGTTATTACATTTTCATTAAATGCATTTTCAGCATATAGAGAAATTATTATATGACTTTCCCCATATAAATTTTAATACTATAGAATCTATATTTTCTACTATTGAAGCATCCATGAATTATTGGATCAAATCTTCCTACCGGTTAATGCACTATTTTGACTATGCTAGTCTACTTGGGAGGGTGATTTTTTAATTCATAGGTGAGATTTGTCCACTTCTGTTTTTAATTTTTACTAGGTTTTGGTACCAAAATGATAATTACTTTATAAAAATTTTTTGAAAACTTTCCTTCTTTTTCTAAGTTTTGATGCTTCTAACATGGCAATGGATTTGGAGACCAAAGGCCTGACCTCCATGGCCCCAACAGGGCCTCCCACTTAACCTGTACCTTCTGTGTCTCTTCACCACGTCAGGCTTATAGTCAGGTTCAATCGTCTTTGCTTATAGATTTTGCCAAGCCATTCCTTTGGCTGCGGTTTTATCAGATAATAGGTAAAGACTATAGGAATATCATCGTTCACTCATGCACAACCCTAATTAGATGACTAGGCACTTGGCTACCATAAGATAGTCATAGCTACACCCATCATTTATCTGGGCTTCAGTGAATTTTTTCACTTTGAATTCAGAGAACTGGGCAAAACTCATGTCACTGCCTGCTCACTTGGCTACCATAAGATAGTCATAGCTACACCCATCATTTATCTGGGCTTCAGTGAATTTCTTCACTTTGAATTCAGAGAACTGGGCAAAACTCATGTCACTGCCTGCCTTTGTACAAATTAACTTTCAGTACTAAATAACTGAAAACAGAATGACATTATGATTTGTGCAAAAACTGTAGAGTCTAAAATCCGGGCTCTTAAACCACACAACTGCGTTCACAGCCAGAACAATCCAAACTTCCAAATACCGAAATCCTTTGAAGTAATCAGGTGTGTCCCTGTATCAGAAATTTACTCTCTCCAGTACCTACTCTACTGAAAAAGTAAACAATGCAATTCTGGTCCTTCTAATGATAATTCAGTACTCTGCACTTCCTATTCAGAATCCCCTTTAAAGAAAATACATTCTTAATTACCCAACTAGATAATATGTGATAGATACAGCCAAACATCTAATGAGTCTAAGAGATTGTGTAAAGACAAATGCATATGAGATTGCCCTTCATTTAAATCCTCAAATCACAGCACTTCAGGAAAAGTACACATTTATTTAGGCAGAGCACCAGAATCATAAATAAAGCCAGTATTTTCTGACAGGTAGGGGTGATGCGGGTGGGTAAGGAGGATCATCTCCCTCTCCAGTTTCCAAACCCAAGTAGACAGAAGTGCCTTTCTACACCACACACCTTGGCTCTGCCCTGCTTTGCCTTCCCTTGCCCTGGGTGACATTTCAACATGTAGGACAGTGGCCAGAGAACTTATGCTCATGGAAAGTGTATAGAAGAGCAAACCTTTGGAATACAAAGTTCCTATGCATATCAACTCTGACTAGAAAGACAAGTTTTTATAGAGTGGACTAACAGCTTCCAATCCATCACCATTTCAAAGCGTAAGATAAATGTAGTCTCAATAGAACATGGTGAAAAATACCATTTAGTGAATTCTTGTGTTTTCTGTCAGGGTAATACTTTTCTCCTATAGTTTCCTCTATTCCTTAGATACCTCGTACCTGCTTCTTCTCTGATATTCTGTATTCTGTATGGTGATTTCATAAATAGGCTAGTCTTCATTTCCTTCTTTTTGTAATCATACCTGATTTCCTTTTGGGGGACATACATCTGCCCTATGGGGAGAGAATTGGTAGAACTATTAATCAAGATTCCGTGACCTTGACCAGTAAAGTGGTATGTGACCTTAGAAAGGCAAGTAGGACCTCTCTCCCAGGACTCTGAATCTTGAGTGAAATACTATAAGAAAAGAAAAATATTTGTTTACTGATCCCCATGAAAGTACACTGAAGTGACCCTCTAAAAGTTCCACTACCTTGACCCCCTAGAGATACCCAAGCCTGGTTTCTCCAGTCTTACATTTTTATAAGCTCACCCAGTAAATAATTTGATAAGTTATCTGGTATTCATTTCTTTACTTGCAACAGAATAAACATTTATGAGTATGAAATAATTTCAAGTTGATTATTTTACCATCCATACCCCACTTGGTGCCATTAAGGCCAAAGGTAAAGCTTAGAGATATAGTCAAAGACCAAAAAACATGGGAAATATATATATATGCCATATCTTTTTTCTAAAAACTTCTTATTATCCACACTTCTTCATATCTTATGACTTAAAATGAAAATTCTCTTATCTGCCATTCTTTCTAATAAAAAATCCAAATTAACTGAAATTCTCACTAAGCCCACTTATCCTAATGCTTACAGAAGCACAGCATAATGAAAATGCTCTTTATTCAAAACACTTTTTGATTATTTACAATTTAAAATACATGGCACTAGGTATTAAAGGAAATCAAAAAAACTATGAGGATATATATGCCATATCTTTTTTCTAAAAACTTCTTATTATCCACACTTCTTCATATCTTATGACTTAAAATGAAAATTCTCTTATCTGCCATTCTTTCTAATAAAAAATCCAAATTAACTGAAATTCTCACTAAGCCCACTTATCCTAATGCTTACAGAAGCACAGCATAATGAAAATGCTCTTTATTCAAAACACTTTTTGATTATTTACAATTTAAAATACATGGCACTAGGTATTAAAGGAAATCAAAAAACTATGAGGGGGCTGGCCCGTGGCTCGCTCAGGAGAGTGTGGTGCTGATAACACCAAGGCCACGGGTTCGGATTCCATATAGGGATGGCCGGTTGGCTCACTGGCTGAGCGTGGTGCTGACAACACCAAGTCAAGGGTTAAGATCCCCTTACCGGTCATCTTTAAAAAAAAAAAACTATGAGGAATGGTCCTTGCCTTCTGGGAGCCCTTGTAACTCAGGTAGGTAAGGTAAGTGCACATGCGGGGATATGTGCACACGAGAGCACAGGACTGGGTGGCCAAGAGGTGGATGGATATTAAATGTCTCGGAATCCAGGGAAATGAAAGTGATCAAGGAGGGAGGCAGGAGGAAAAGGCCTCGTAAAGTAGGTTGGTTCTAAAGAACAATAGAGAGATTCATGAAAGAGCGGCCCAGGCCAGAGGAACAACATGAACACAGGCATGGAATCAGGACAGGTCAGATAGGTTTGGTGGTGTTGAAGAAGGCAGGTCTCACAGGGCTCACAGAGGAGATGGGAGCTCAGCTGAAATAATGTTTCAAGAAGGCTGTGTTTATAACCCCAAGATAGGAGTCGTTCCACACTGTATATAATAAGTAATCCTGGCATTAATAACCCATTTATATTATCTAAGAGGTGGGGAGTTTTTCCTAAAAAAAATAACAAGATAATAAGTACCCAAGGTGGTGTTATTTGGACTAATGTCCCATGAGTGCATTCAAAGTTTTGGGGTCTTATTCATATAATTGTATGATAATATGCTTCTAGGAAACGCATACATTGTGGTACAGTCGT